TTGAACTCTGGGCCTGGGCGCTGTCCCTCAGCTCTTCAGCTCAAGGCTAGTGCTCTACCACTTGAGCCACAGCGCCACTTCCAGTTGTCTGGTTTACTGGCGATAAGAGTCTCACAGATTTTCCTGCCTGGGCTGGCTTTGAACCGCAAGCCTCAGATCTCAGCCTCCTGAGTAGTTAGGATTATAGGCCTGCGTCACTCACTGGTGCCTGGCTAAATTCTTTTTTTCTTTCTTCTTTTGCCAGTCCTGGGGCTTGAACTCAGGGCCTGAGCACTGTCCCTGAGCTCCTTTTGCTCAAGGCTAGCACTCTACCACTGTATTTCTGTAAATTCTAATTCTTTTTTTTTTGGGGGGGGGTGGTCTGGTCGTGGGGCCTGAACTCTGGGCCTGGGCGCTATCCCTCAGCTCTTCAGCTCAAGGCTAGCACTCTACCACTTGAGCCACAGCACCACTTCTGGCTTTTTTCCTTTTTGCTTATGTGGTGCTGAGGAATCGAACCCAGGGCCTCATACATGCAAGGTAAGCGCTCTACCACTGAGTCACCTTCCCAGCCCTAAATTCTAATTCTTAGCACTGGTTATCATTAAGTTATAACCAATTAATTCCTGCCTGACTAGTTTTTGACTCTGTGTGTGTTCAAAGGATTTTAAGAGAAAGTGTGTATGTCAGGGGTACGGATTGAACCCAGGTCCTTATGCACGCTAGGCAAGTGCTCTACTACTGAGCTATACTGCCAGCTTCACTTAGGGTTTTTCAAAGTAGAACTGGCTCCTCTACTCTCCTAACCCCACAGTGCATATTTTAAAACTGCCATAGATCTGTTTCTTTTAGATCCTCCTCATCCACTGCTGTCTCTCGATGCCTACTCTATGTCTGGACGAGACGATCTTAAAGGGCTCCAACCACTTAACAATCAATTCTTGGAAGGGCAAGAAATTAATTCGCAGTGTTTTGTCAATATGCATGGCAGACATTCTGTCAGCAGGATGGATTTTAAACTTGCAAAGAACTATCACAGAAGGAAGACGTGGGGAGAGACAGCCGTGGCCCATCAGAGACACAAACGGGCATGCCGTGTGCCAACCCCACAATATTTACAAAAGAGAGGCTGTGTTCTGGTCCAGGCTTCATCCTGCTACCACGGCTGAATCAAGCTGGGTACCAGTGGCTACCACCTGTAATCCAAGCTACTCAGGAGGCTGAGAGCTGAAGATCATAGAGATATGAGGATCCAGCCTGGGCAGGAAAGTCCATGAGGCTTTTTATCTCTAATTAACCACCAAAGAGCCAGAAATGGAGCTGTGGCTCAAGTGGTTAAAACCCTGTCCTTGAGCAGTAAAGCTCAGGGACAGCAGCCAGACCCTGAGTTCAAGTCCTAGGACTGGCACAAAATCAACATAAAATAAAATTCACAAAGCTGGATCATGTGATTACTGAACCCCAGAATGCTATTTTATCAGCATCCCGCACGCTTCTCTGGGGTCCCAGTGGCAAGTGGCCAAGGAGGCATTCAGGATGTCTCAGTACCTAACAGCTTCCTTGTTGGAGACATTGGCATTGCCAACTGGCTGAGTCCTGGCTTACAGAATAGCTTTGGGTCTGGTTACCCAACTTCCCTGATGACTGTCCCTTCTACTCCATACCCAGGGCCGTCCCTCCTCAGCACAGCCCTTTCCTCATTCCCCCACCCCCTGGTGAATTCCCATCTGGCCATGAATCAAACACTCTGACTTTTATTTTGAAAGGACACCGACCCTTCCTGAATTATTGTAACTTTATTCAAAGGAGACTCTGCTTTGTCTCTTCTCTAGCCATCAGCAGTCTAAGCCAGAGGACTGAGAAGAATAAAAGGGAAAAAAAGATTCTTTTTTAACATGGAAAGGAGGGGTTAGGAAAAAAAATTAAAAGAAAAATAGAAACCTGGTAAAAGATGTGGAAACTTCTCTCGCCAGGGTTCCTCATGACCACTCTGGATTTTTCTAGAAGGAAGTTGGAGATCTTTCCGCCATCTGGTTCCCCACCTGGGCTGAACTGGATTTCAAAGTATTTCCCCTGCAAGCAAGGTAAGGATGTCCTGTGAGGGTCAGTAAACACAGCCCGCAGGCTCGGGACGCTGCACATAATACAAGGAAATTCGTGCATGAGAGCCAAGTCCGGAACCCATGCCCAACTCTGGGCTACACTTCCCCCAGGCCTTCATCTCAAACAATCACCAGAGCTGTGTGGTCCACTCCCACAGTTCTGTATTCAGAATGGGAAATCTAGGGTCCCAGCCAGACTAAATAAGGTATATGGGAGATGCTGGGCCCATTTTCTTCCCATGGAAGGCAGAGAAAATGAACCAGAAAACTCTAGGTCAAAGCAGTGAACTCTAACTGATGGAAGCAAGTTTTTCCCTCTGTACACTGCAATGCTTTGAGCAAAATTAGCCTAAAGGCTGTCCATCCCTTTTACCCCAAAACTGCTGGAACACACACTGAAATAAAAATATTTTATTATAAGTAAACTCTGTAAGTTATTCCCCTCTTGCTCACATTCTGCCTGTGTGTGTCCTCAAGATTGAACGTAGGGCCTGGGCACTGATCTTGAGTTTTTGTGCTCAAGGCTGGTGCTCTACCACTTGAGCCATAGCCCCACTTCTGACTTTCTGGTGAGTAACTAGAGACAAGAAGATAGACTCTTCATAGGCTTTTCTGCCCAGGCTGGCTTCAAACTGTGAGCCTCTGGATTCCAGCCTTCTGAGTAGCTAGGATTACAGGTGCTGTTCTCAACTTTTTGAAATAATTGCCTGTCTAAGAGGTAGAAAATAATGTATGGTTTGACATGCACATTTGTCTCGGTATAGGTGAAGGCGTATTTTGGTGCCTTCAGAGGTGGCTGGTGAGGGGGAGGGAGGGAGAATATGGGGAGGGAGGGAGATGAAGACACATGTGTGCAAATGGCCTGCCTCATCAGTTCTGGTGTCCATCTGTCTGTCCATCATGGGGGTATGAAGCTTTATAATCACATAAATAATACATGCTGGGCTTTTGCTATTTATAAAAATCGACTGAAGCCCCCTCCAAAGAAAAACAACAATTGATAGTGGGGGGAAAAAATCAAATAAAAATAATGATTTTTTTTTTTTTGCCCTGATCTCTAAGGCAGGTGGGTGGGGTTGGCTGGCTGAAGGTTTAGACTTTTACAAGGCAGATTTAGATTAATGACTGGGGGAGAAGATTGGACAAAAACTATGTTTGCCCCTCTCTCTCTCTCTCTCTCTATTTTATTACCTAGGAACTTCAAGATTAAACAAGTCCAGCATTGAGCTTTAAAAAAAATCAACTGAGCACCAGTGGCTCACACCTTAATCCTAGCTACTGGGAAGGCTGAGACCTAAAGATCATGGTTCAAATCCAGCCCATGCAGGAACATCTGTGAGACTCTTATCTCTAATAAATTACTTAAAAAAGCCAGAAATGGAGCTGTGGCTCAAGTGGTAGAGCACTAGCCCTGAGCAAAAGAAGCTCAGGAACAGTGCCCAGGCCTAGATTTCAAACTTCAGGACCAGGGGGGGAAAAAAAAAAGAGCCTGGTACTGGTGGCTCACACCTTTAATCCTAGCTACTCAGGAGGCTGAAATCTGAGGATCATAGTTTGAAGCCAGATTGCACTCTTATCTCTAATTAACCACCAAAATGCCGGAAGTAGAGCTGTGGCTCAAGTGGTAGAGTGCTAGCCTTGAGTATAGAAGCTCAGGGACAACATGCAAGGCCCTGAATTCAAGCTGCAGGACTGGCATTTAAAAAAAAAAAAAAAAGAGGGATAATGGAACAAGTAGATGAGTTAGGAGCAGGCAACAAGGACCAAGCTGATGAGCCTAATGGATGGAGGGAATGGGACGGTGGCTGCACGGGACAAATTAGCTAGGGGGATTTCTTTTGGAAACAGAAACTTCTTTGCAAAATAGAGCATGAAAAGGAAATGGGTTTTCTCTGAAATTTCCAACTGCGTATTTCCCATACAGCCCAGAATCGGCCTCCTGAGTGGCTGCTGGTCTGTTTTAGTGCTGGACCTGATAAATAAGTACAATAAAAAAAAATGCTTGATTCATACAAATCAAGGCTACTGGGGAAGCAGAGGTTTCTTTGTAAATCTGGACCAGCTTGGAACATGATCCTCCTATTTACACTTGTTACCACGGTTGAGATGACAGATGTGTGTCATCATGCCCAGTTACTGACCAAGATGGGGGCTGAGGAATTTTTTTTGGTCCGTCGTGGGGCTTGAACTCTAGGCCTGGGCATTGTCCCTCAGCTCTTCAGCTCAAGGCGAGCGCTCTACCACTTGAGCTACAGCGCCACTTCCGGTTTTCTGGTGGTTTATTGGAGATAGGAGTCTCACGGTCTCTCCTGCCCGGGCTGGCTTTGAACCGCGATCCTCAGATCTCAGCCTCCTGAGTAGCTAGGATTACAGGTGTGAGCCACCAGCGCCCAGCCTCTGAAGAATTTTTATGCTTGGGCTGCCCTTGAACTGTGATCCCTCATGATAGATAGACGAGGTGATTATTTTTTTATAAGCCTAGGCCATTTAAGGGGTACTTTGGAACCCCAGTCACTTTTGTTTTTTTGGTTGGTCATGGGGCTTGAACTCAAGGCCTCTGTCCTTCAGCTTTTTTGCTCAAGGCTAGAGCTCTACCACTTTGAACCACAGCACCAATTCTGGTTTTTGAGCTGTTAATTTGAAATCAGAGTCTCATGGAGACTTTCCTGCCTAGGCTGGCTTCAAACAACGATCCTCAGATCTCAGCCTCCTGAGTAGCTAGGATTACAGGCATGAGCCACCAGTGGCCAGCTCAAATTACGTTGATTGCATTGCTGAGTTTTAAAATTAAACTTCAGCTCAGGACAAGACAAAGGCAAACACGAGAGCTCGCTGCTTTACAAACTAAAGGGCAGTCTGGGGAGCTAGCCCCTGAGAACACAGCAGAACCTCAAGTTCTTTTATGGTTAACTGGGGACCTCAATCTGGGGGGATTGGGAGGCTTGGAGGCCAGGGGGAAAGACATACAAAGCGGCTGGAGTTGTTGTTTCGGACTGTCTTGGCGTTTCCAAAGGCCTCGAGCAGTGGATTGGACTGCAAGATGATGTCCTTCACGTGCTGTGGGAGAGAAAACAGACACACACACACACACACATACACACACACACACACACAGAGTCAGCAAAGGGCAGCCCACTTTTCCCTAAGCTCCTGGCTCCGCCAGGCCTCTGGGGTAGATGTCCCTGCTCCCTGCGTCCCTGAAGATTTCTTCAGAATGTCACCTTCTAAAGTCACAGGCCTCCCTCACCCTGCTTGAGTGTCCTGGCTTGATTCAGAATGCCAGAGCAAAAAAAATCAGAATCAACCAAGCCTCCCGGATTCTCGGTCCATGCTACTGATTACACCCTTTCCAATATCAATGTGGGCTGGGAGTGGGTGAGGGGAGAGGTTACAACAGGAAGGAAACTGGGACACACAGGGGTATCTCTTTCCTTGTTTTTCCCTCTCTCCTCCATTGGTGGTACTGGAGTTTGAACTCAGACCTTCATGCTTGCAAAGCAGGTGCTCTACCTCCTAAGCCATGCCTCCAGCCCTGTTTTTGCTTTCATTATTTTGTTTCCAGATAAGAGTCTCAGGTTGTTTGGCCCTGACTCACCTGGACTGAGATTCCTGTCTCCAACCTAGCTGGATTAAAGGCTCATGCCACCATGCCTAGCTTGTTGATTGAGATAGAAGCTCCTTAACTTTTCTCAGGGCCTCCTGTGCTGCTCAGGTAGTTGGGATTACAAGCATGTACCACAGTACCTGGCCACTTCCTTGTGGTTCTTCCCAGAGATTTTCTAATCACTGCCCTTCCCAACTACTTTATCTGTTCCAGTACAAGCAAAAGATTTCAAGGGAAATGCATCCATTTCTCCTCTAAATGATCTTATGGAAATATAATCTGGCATTTTTCTTTCTTTTTTAAAAAATTTTTTTGGTCGGTCATGGGGCCTAAACTCTGGACCTGGGCGTTGTCCCTCAGCTCTTCAGCTCAAGGCTAGTGCTCTATCACTTGAGCCACAGTGCCACTTCTGGCTTTTTCTGCTTATGTGGTGCTGAGGAATCGAACCCAGGGCCTGATGCATTCAAGGCAAAGTACTCTACCACTGAGCCACCTTTCCCAGCCCTAATCTGGCATTTTCAAATTTATCTAGGCCCAACCCATCTGGGGATTGTGTTAAAACACAGATGTGTTTTTCTGGGTTTTGTTTTGTTGTTGTTGTTTGTGCCAAATCTGGGGCTTGAACTTGGGGCCCCAGATTCTTACTTGACTTTTTTCCCAAGGCTAGCGCTCTACCACTTGAGCCACAGTTCTACTTCCAGATTTTTGCTGGTACATTGGAGATAAGAATCTCACAGACGTTACCACCCTGGCTGGCTTCAAACTGCAATCCTCAGATCTTAGCCTCCTAAGTAACTAGGATTACAGGCATGAGCTACCAGTACTGGGTTTATGTACTTTGAATCAGCAACTCTCTTCATTCCTGTGACAAGCATACTGTCATGTTTGATGACAAGACATTTCATGTCCTTTATTATGAGCTGTCTTTCATATCCTCTATTTCCCTTTTGTACTTTTTTTGTTGCCACTCATGAGACTTGAACTCAGGGCCTGAGTGCTGTTTCTGAGCTGTTTTTGCTCGAGGCTAACACTCTGTGGCTTTGAGCCACAGCTCCACTTCCAGTTTTTTTTTTTCTCTAGTTTTTAGTTGGTTAATTAGAGATAAGAGTCTCACAGACTTTTCCTGCTTGGGCTGGCTTTGAACTGTGATCCTCACATTTCAACCTCCTGAGTAGCTGGCAGCCAGCACCCAGCAGCCCTCCTTTTGTTGATTTGTAGGGACTCATTATATATGAGGCACGCCTAGCTCAAAACACCCTATTCCTTTGCAGATTCTGTGGTTCTTGGTTGCTGCCTTTTTTACAGTGGATAGAAAATCCGGAGTGACCGCTGGCTCACCTGGACCTTGGGGCCCCCTCCAGACACCCTGGAGACGTAGCTCATGATGTATTTGGCAGCCACTGTCTTCCCGGCACCGCTCTCTCCACTGGGGAAAGAAGGGGAAAATGGCCATTAGGCGAGTGACCAGGTCCTCCTTCATGCCTGGACCAAGCAACCCACAGCAACACGCAGACAGAAAGCAGGCAAGGAGGGGGGGGCAGCTGGGAAAGGCAGCTGGGAGGGAGGCAGGAAGTCCTGCTGGAGCTGGAGGGGCGATGGGCGCAGGGCACCTCCCCCTGCAGGGCACAGTACACCTAGTGACGCTGGAATGACCATGTGACACGGGATGGGAAGGGGACAGCACGTCATGGCCAAAGGGTGGGTATACACAGAGAAATGGCTGCGTTCAACGGTCTACAAAACATGGAAGTATCTTGAAAGTGCTTGCTTGGAACACACAAAATCCTGGGGGTTCCATGTCCTAAGGTTGGGTAGGGAGGGAGGGACGTAGGTAGCGGGAGAGAGAGGGAGGGAAGGAGGGAGGTGGAGGGAGGGAGGGAGGAAGGGAGGAAGGAAAGAAGGAAAGAAGGAAAGAAGAAAGGAAGGAAAAAGGAAGGAGGGGGGAGGGAGGGAGGGAAGAAGGGAAGGAGAGGAGGGAGGGAGGGAAAGAAAGGAGGGAAGGAAAGGAGGGAGGGAGAGAAAGGAGGGAAGAAGGAAGGAAAAAAGGGAGGAAGGGAGGGAGGGGTGAGAGAGAAAGAAGGGAGGGAGGGAAGGAGCGAGGGGTGAGGGGAAGAAAGAAAGGAGGGAGGGAAGAAGGAAGGAAGGAAGGAAGGAAGGGAGGGAGGGAGGGAGGGAGGGAGGCAAGGAAGGAGGGAGTGGTGAGGGAAAGAAGGGAGGAAGGAAGGAGGGAGTGAGGGAGGGAAGGAGGGAAGGAAGGAGGGAGGGAAGGAGGGAAAGAGAGGGAGGAAGGAAGAAGGGGAGGTAAGGGAAGAGAAGGAGGGAGAAGAGAGAAAATGAAAGGAAAGGAAAATAAAGAGAAAGGGGAAGAGGGAAGGAGGAAGGGAGAAGGGAAGGAAGAATGAAAGAAAGGGGGGAGGGAGAAAAGTAGAGAGCAAGGGAAAGGAAAGACAACTGGGAGGGGAAATTGTCTGGAACTCTTCACTGAAAGTGGTGGAGATTTGGATCGATGTAAGGAAGCCAAAGAAACTTGGGTTCCATATTTACCAAACTTTTAGTACTATTCTATTACTTGGGGTGGGGGATAAGAGGGGAGGGGGAGGGGAGCCTCTCTGAGGTTACACTGTGCCCCCTGAGCAATGCGCACTTCCTTCTATTGGCAGTTCTAAAATTAAACGCTGAGGCAGTCGGCATTAATCACATCCTGAGAACGAAGCTGCTTTCCTCCTCTTACCAGTAATGGCACAGGACCAGCCATGTGTGTGTGTGTGTGTGTGTGTGTCTGTGTGTCTGTGTGTTTGTGCATGTGCGTGCGCCAATCCTGGAGCTTGAACTCAGGGTATGGGTGCTGTTCCTGAGCTTTGTGCTCCAGGCTAGTACTCTACCATTTGAGCCACAGCTTTACTTCCAGCTTTTTGCTAGTTAAGTGGAGATAAGAGGCTCACTGGCTTTCCTGCCCCAGCAGGTTTTGAATTGCAATCCTCAGAGATCAGCCTCCTGAGTAGCTCTGGATTCCAGGTGTGAGCCACCAGTGCCTGACAAGGATTAGTCTTTTTAAAAAAGAGTCTACTTTTTGGGGGCAGGGAGGTGGGGGGGGGAAGATGGGAAGGGATGGGAAGAGGAAACAAAGGAGGAGGCAACAACGCTTGATAAGAAATGTAATTATCGGGCTGGGAAGGTGGCTCAGTGGTAGAGCACTTGCCTTGCATGCATGAGGCCCTGGGCTCGATTCTTCAGCACCACATAAGCAAAAAGAAAAAAAGCTGGAAGTGGCGCTGTGGCTCAAGTGGTAGAGCGCTAGCCTTGAGCTGAAGAGCTGAGGGACAGCGCCCAGGCCCAGAGTTCAGGCCCCACGACCAGACCCCCCCCCCAAAAAAATAATTAAATGTAATTATCTTGCCCATGTAATTGTAACCCCTCTGTATGGTATTTTCACAATTAAAAAAAAAAGAGTCTACTTTTCAAAATTCTAGTCTTCTAATAAGAACCTCAATTCAGACAATGCTCAAGCCAGGCAGAGTTCTGGATTCTCTGTTGGTACCATTTAGGGATCATCTCATGGAAAATAATAGACAGTCAAAGTTAAAACAGTAGCTGTCTGCTAGTTCACAGGACCATGTATTTGCTAGTTCTGGTTGATCAAGAATGTTGGGCAAGCTGGGTGCTTTGCTTCATGCCTGTAATCCTAGCTACTCAGGAGGCTGAGATCTGAGGATCATGGTTCGAAGCTAGCACGTGCAGAAAATTCCATGAGACTCTTATCCTCTTTCAACCACCAGAAAACCAGAAATGGAGCTATGGCTCAAAGTGGTAGAGCACTAGCCTCAAGCAAAACAGCTCAGGGATACCACCCAGGAACTGAGCTCAAACCCCACAGCCAACAATTAAATAAAAAGAATTTTGAGGGCACAGAGGCACATGGACAGAAGACAATCCAATAAGGGGACACCCCCTCACCCCAAAAAGGAAGCTGAGACCAATGTTGAAATCATTGGGTTTTTCAAGCCAACCCAAAATTAAACTCGCCATTTGGCAAACTTCTAATTGTATTGGATGTCTTTGAACTGCTATGTGATGTTAAGAGAGACTGGGGTACAAGTGGGGGGCCTGGCCCAGGGATTGGAGCCTCTTAGGCTCAGCATCCCTCTATGCTGTGCAGCCTGGGCCTGAATTCCTGCCTTACAGGTTGGATTTCCTCAACTAAGAAACCAAATGGAAAGGCCTTAAGATACAAGGCAAGTAGATACCCAGTGGGATTGGACGAGGAGACCCCATGTCTCCAGGAAATGTGCCCATCCTCAGGCTCAAGTTAGCTCAACTCCATGAGATGATGACAATGGTGATCATGAGGATTTGAACTCAGGGACTTGCACTTGCAGGCAGGTGCTCTACCACTTGAGCCACACCCCCAGTCACTTTTTTGCTTCACTTTTCCAAATAGGCAGCCTCCTTTTTTGTTGTTGTTGTTGTTTTTCTGACTTGTCTTTCATCTTGATCTTCCTACCTCCACCTCCTTTATAGTTGGGATTACAGGTGTGCTCTACCACACCCTTCCCCAAATTATCTTTGTAAATGGTCAGCATAATCAGATAATTTATACACTAGATCCAAGATGACTAGATAGTTGATAAAACTTAACAAGTCTAAGTCCATTTTATAAGGTGTAACAATGTAAATATTCAAGAACTTCACAACATCAGTACAGTGGAGTTGTATAACCACCCAATGAAACAGGAAATACATTTAAAATCATACAAGGACTATGAAGTGGCTATTTCAACAAAACACAATGTATCTATAACATGCTTGTAACTATGTATAGAAAGATAATGTCAGAAAAAGAAATGAAAGGGAACAAGGAAAAAGATCTATCTCTACCTTGTTAGGACAATTTATTATATAGAAGATTCTTTTTACTTTATTATTTTGTGTGTTTGCAGGTATTGGGGCTTGAACTCAGGGTCTGGACATTTTCCTTTAGCTTTTTTATTCAAGGCCAGTACTCTACCACTTTAGCCACAGCTCCATGCCTAGCTTTTTGCTCATTAATTGGCGATAAGAATCCCACACATGTTCTTGCTAAAGCTGATTTCGAACAAACAGATTAACAGCCTTATCATGGGAGTCAACATGACTAGAATTATTTGACAATGAGAAAACTCAAAGAATATTCTGGCTGGGCACTAGTGGCTCAAGCCTGTAATCCTAGCTACTTAGGAGGCCGAGATCTGAGGATTGTGGTTTGAAGCCAAACTGAAGCCCATGAATCTTTTTTTTTTTTTAATTTTATTTTATTTTATTTGTGAACATACTGTACAGAGGGGTTACAATTGCATGGGCAGGATAATACGTACATTTCTTACCAAGCATTGCAGCCTCCTCCTTTGTTTACCCTTCCCATCCCTTCCCAGCCTCCCCCCTCCCAAGCCCATGAATCTTTTATCTCCATCAAAAGGACCATTAGCCAAGACAAGAGCAAATTCAAGCCCCACACGCACAAACACACACACACACACACACACACACACACACACACACACACACACACACACATACAATCCTTATCACAAGCTAGTTCAATAGGTAAGACATTTAAAATTCACTAGTTTGAGATAATAGTGACAATAAAAATACATTACCTAGAGAGGTTGCTAGAGCAACCACTCATTGCTTTGAAATGTGAGAGGTAATGACAATGAATCACAAATGTTATCCTCACCAAAATGGTATTTTACGATGGCAAAAGAGCTCCACCTAACATGCTTAGAACAAAGCATAGCATTAGAAAGTAATGATTGTTGGGTGGTTGTTTTTTTTTTTCTAGCCCTTAATTAAGGAAGAGCCACGGAATGAAAATGTAGACTAGGTGAGTCCACCAGCATTCAGGCCGCCAGCATTCAGTTCACAGTATAACTGACAAGGGTTTTGGCTTAAAAATTGAATATGAATTTGCCATTTACAGGAAGCAAAGGGAACAGAGAAAACTTAAGCTTCATCATGGGGTACAGAGCCAGACTGTAGAAAGAGAGCTGCAGGACAAAGAATTCCTTCTTTCATGAATAAATGCCTAGAAAACAAAGCCAAGAAAAGAGCCTTAAAGAGACACAGCCACCCAGGGCCATGGGTCAGCTTTGTTTGGATTCTAAATAAATTAGAAAAAAACAACAACTTGCTACAAAGAAGAAATGTATTGCTAGGCCTGAAAGCAGAATATTGATGTTAAGTGATAATAAAAGATGTATTCTTTCCTTTTGGTGTTGGTGGTGGTGATTGAGTCTAGGACCTTATACATACTAAGTACAGCTCTAACACTGAGTTATACCCATCCACAAATCATTCATTTTCAAGGTACAATAATCTTTGGATGGTTTTGATGATTGACAAATGAAGGGAGAGGTTATTTGGAATTTGCCTTAAATGGTCAAGTAGGTTAGGAAAGAAGGACTAAGAAAAACAGGATTAACCATATCTTGTGTTTGTGTTTGTGTGCATATGTGTGTGTGCGCACGCATGCGCGTGTACCAATACTAGGGCTTAAACTCAGGGCCTTATGCTCTCACTTTTTTTTTTTTGGTCAAGACTCGCATTCTACCACTTGAACCATACCTCTACCTCCATGTTTGACCATTATCTTGATAACTAGGAAAATGGCTGATCGGTACAGTATATTATAATCTTTTTAATGTGATACATGCTTGTGAGTATCTTTAATCAAAGCTTTTTTTCCAAAATGCTTCAGATGAAAAGGCAAAAAATTAAAAAAGAGGAACATAAATATATTGGATTGAGCTTTGGTGGAGGGGTGGGGGTGAGAAGGAGGTCAGCAAACAGTTAACTGTCAGCCAGGAGTGGAAGTGCATACCTGGCATCCTAGCTAATGAGGGAGATGGTGTTTCCAGAGTGAGATTGTGGTTTTGGATTGTGTTGTGAGATCCCTATCTGAACAGAAAAATCTGGGCATGGTAGTACATACCTGTAATCCCAACTACACAGGCAAGTGTAAATAGGACGATTGATGACCAGGCTTGTACTGTCGACACCTACCTGACTGCAAATGCTCATAGTAGGAAATCAATGACAAAGTGCTTCACCCCCTAAACACCCAGCAATGGGCCAGGTTAAATGAATTATGAAATCCACTTGCAGATCCCAAAGGCTGACACTTACTAGTCACGTCCTCCAAAATCAAGGCAAATGATGAAACTCTATCAAAGGCGCTCAGACATGGTGGCCAAGTGCAGTGACTCACACTCCCTAATCCCAGCTACTCAGAAGGAAGAGAGTAGGAAGATAGCACACTAGGCCTGGTGGTATACACCTGCCATCCCAGCTCTACAAGAGTAGATTAGGAGGATTGCTGTCCAATGCTGGCCCTGAGCCTGTGAAGACAGGACAACGTAGGCAACAAATAACTGAAATGGAAGAAGGCCTTAAGGAGTGGCTCAAATGGCAGTGTCCTTGGCCCAACCAGGACACCAAGCTCAAATGTGAAGTACTACATTGCAAGCAAAGGAAAAAGTAGGATCCAAGGAAAGCATTCCAGCTGAGAATCCAGTGAGCCACCGTGTATGAAACTCAGGACAAGAAAAGAACTTCCAATTTCTGATCAAACAGAAGTAAGACATTTTCCACCATTCACAGTGGCACCATTTAACTCGGTAACCAGCAGAAACGCATGGCCGTGTGTCAGGATTCTAACTGGAAACCCTATGGCCCGGGGTACCAGTGGCTCACGCCTGTAATCCTAGCTATTCCAGAGGCTGAGATGTGAGGATCAAAGTTCTAAGCCAGCCCAGGTAGGAGAATCAGCGAGATCAGTGAGACTCTTTACCTCCAGTAAAGCACCAATAGGCCAGAAGTGAAGTGGAGGGGTGGCTTCAGTGGCACAGTGCTAGCTTTGAGTAAACAAAAAACAAACAAAAAAACCTCAGAGACAGTGCCCAGGCCCTGAGTTCAAGTCCCAGGACCAGCATCAAAACAAAACAAAACAAAAAACCCAGAAAAACAAAACAACAACAACAAAAAAAACCTACCATGGAAGCTAGAAGGAGTGGCTGTTGGGAACCCGTAACTGGTGACAGAGTGCCAAAAGACAGAGGTGTGTTGGCCTGCAGCCCCTGCCATACCTGATTATGACACACTGGTTCTCTCTGTCGATGATCATATTTCTGTACATACTGTCCGCCAGGGCGTAGATATGAGGTGGGTTTTCATACTGGGCCTAGAAAGGCAAAGAACCACAATTAGACGGAACCTACTCTGATTTCCTTTCTTGGCCTCTTCATTCAGTTCTGGTGGCTATTAATTCCACCCGACAGCTTGCATGCTAAGGAACTTAATTTAAAAACAAAACAAACAAACACGGGGCACTGGTGGCTCACACCTGATACCCTAGCTACTCAGGAGGCTGAGACCTGAGGATTGTGGTTCAAAGCCAGCCCAGGCAGGAAAGTCCATGAGACTCTTATCTCCAATAAACTACTCAAAAAAGCTAGAAGTGGAGCTGTGGCTCAAGTGGTAAGAGTGCTAACTTTGAATAAAAGAAGCTCAGAGACATGCTCAGGCCCAGAATTCAAGCCCCAGAATTCGCAAAGAAAACAAGTCTTAGCACACACAGCCGGGCATCGGTGGCTCATGCCTGCATTCCTAGCTATTCAGAAGGCTGAGAGCTAAGGATTGTGGCTTGAAGCCAACATTTCTTCTTCTTCTTCTTCTTCTTTCTTTCTTCTTTCTTCTTCCTTTCTTCTTCTCTTCTTCTTCTTCTTCCTCTTCCTCTTCTTCTTCCTTTCTTCTTCCTCTTCTTCTCTTCTTCCTCTTCCTCCTCCTCCTCCTCCTCCTCCCTCTTCTTTTTTGGTTAACTGTGGGGCTTGAACTCAGGGCCTGGGTGCTGTCTCTAAGCTTTTTCACTCCAGGCTAATAATGGTCTACCACTTTGAGCCACAGTGCCACTTCCAGTTTTCTGGTGGTTATTTGAAGATAAGAGTTTCACGGACTTTCCTGCCCTGGCTGGTTTCAAACAGTGACCCGCAGCTCTCAGCCTCTTGCATTGCTACAGGCTTGAGCCACTGGTGCCCAGCCCATGAGATTTTTAAATTCCAATTAACCAGTAAAAAGCCAGAACTGGAGCTGTGGCCCAAGTGGTAGAGTGCAAAAATAGCTCAGGGCCCTGAGTTCATGCCTCAGGACTGACATGTGAGCACACACACACACACACACACACACTGACATGTGAGCACACACACACACACACTGACATGTGAGCACACACACACACACACACACACCATCCTAGCTGAAGACCAAATGCCATCCTGAGAAAATTCGAAAGGAATATGGACTTTTCCACAGATGGGCCATGATTCAGCCTTCAAACATGTCCATGGTCCCTTTGACACTTCTATACCACACCTTTCCTACCAACCTCGCCTCTGCAACCACGTTCTACTTCTAGATCCTTCTGGAGACACGTGGGTGGCAGGGCTGAAGGGAGACCTCCTCCCAAAGCCTGAGGTCTGAGGGTGATGACAGTTTCTCAGTTCCCCCTCACTGTTTCTCTAAGAGGCAAGTTACTTGCAGGAAGATTTGTCCCAAAACTGAGTGGCATTATCAACGGATGAGGATAAAAAGTTAAACTTTTCCCTCAGAGGGTGGAGGCAGGGGTTCTAGAAAGACAGAAACGGGTCCTGCGGGTTGGTGTCATCCATTTGGGAACCGGAATCGTGCTACACCTATTCTGTTGGGTGTGTGACTGAATCTTGTGACATGGCTGAAATGGAAACATCTCCATACCTAATAATTTTCCTGCCTGAACCAGATCGACATCCTGCTTCATTCAATTCCTTCCTATTCCCCACCTTTGCTTCTACCTTAAAATTTACCGTAAGTCCTAACTACTCAGGAGGCTGAGATCTGATGATTGTGGTTCAAAGCCAGCCCAGGGTAGGAAAGTCCATGAGATTCTTATCTGCAATTAACCAGCAAAAAAGCCAGAAGTGGAGCTGTGGTTCAGGTGGTAGAGCACTAGCCTTGAGTACAAAAGCTCAGGGACAGTGCCCAGGCCCCTGAGTTCAAGCCCAGAATGGGCACACACACACAAAATCATTCATGGGCAATGCAACTATATTATTAATTGCAAGGAAGAAAAATATTCTGCATTGTATAAGCTCTAGACTTGGTAATAATGGACGTAGCTCATTACTTGTAGCTCATTACTTACCGCTCCTTGGTACATTTCAATCTCCTTCTCTCCGAAGTATGGCATCTGCTTAAAAGGGTTGACTGAGATTAGCACAGACCCTATGTAGGTCTGGATTTAAGCTGGTTAAGGACCATCCTTAATATTCCTAGTAATCCATTGTCCCCTGCAGTGACAGGATGTTATCAAGAATTCACAGTCAGCTAGGAGCAGGTGGCTCACACCTGTAATCCTAGCTACTCAGGAAGCTGACAGGTGAGGATAACAGTTCAAAGCTAGCCTGGGCAGAGAAGTCCCCATGAGATTCTTATCTCCAATTAACCACTCAAAACCAGAAGGAGCAATGGGATTCAAAGTGGTAGAGTGCTAACCTTGAGCAAAAGAGCTCAGGGACAGTGTGCAGGCCCTGAGTTCAAGTCCCATGAGCAATTAAAAAAGAAGAAGAAGAAGAAATGTAAAAAGAGTTCACACAGATTGCTCAGCATAGATGGAAAGTTCCTGTTTGTAGTTTTCAAATGAATCCAAAGACAAAAGCAATTACCTAATGAGCCCAGCTGCTACTTCCTTCCAGAAACAATAATGAATTGAATTACCAAGGTTGTACTGGAAAGAAATCATTATTCTAAATAAACTAAACCAAAGCATATTCTTTCTAGACCTGGTGCTGAGTCCCGTTAAGAAAAAAGCAAAACAGAACAGAAAAGCCATGGAATGGTGAGACTGGGGTTGCTTCTGTTCTCAAATGATAAATATTTTTCTTTGCATGATTTTCTATTTTTAAAACTACTGCACTAAACTATAAGTTATTTAGACTACTCATTATACCTTGTTAAGTGTGTACATGTGTGCCTGAGGTCCTCAGGCTTGAACTCAGGGCCTGGTTGATATCCCTGAGCTTTTGTGCTCAAGGCTAGTGCTCTACCACTTGAGCCACAGCTCCACTTGCAGCATTTTGGTGGTTCATTGAAGATAAGAGTCTCACAGCCTTTCCTGCCTGGGCTGGCATTGAACCGGGATCCTCAGATCTCAGCCTGCAGAGTAGCTAGGATGACAGGCGTGAGCCTCTGACATCAAGCAGCATTTGGCATTTTTTATTGTTGTTGTTTTGTTTTTCTCTGGGGAATTTTTTGAATCTTTAAGTAGTTGTACAAAGGGGTTGCCACTAAGCAGGGAGTTTATGTTGCATTTTTAAAGCCATTATGAATATGTCATCTGAAGAAAGGCTGACATTGAAATGGAAAGAAAAACTCCAGAATATCAGGTGTTTTCCATAGTTGAGCCTCATTTCTTTTTTTTTTTTGGTCTTTCTTTCTTTTTTTTTTTTTTTTCTTTTTGATTGGTCATGGGGCTTGAACTCTGGACCTGGGCACTGTCCCTGAGCTGTTCAGCTCAAGGCAAGTACTCTACCACTTGAGCCACAGCACCACTTCCAGCTTTCTGGTGGTTAACTGGAGATAAGCATCTCATGGACTTTCCTGTCCTGGCTGGTTTTGAATCACAATCCTCAAATCTCAGCCTCCTGAGTAGCTAGGATGACAGGTGTGAGCCACTGGCACCCGGCTTGAGCTTCATTTTGTAATACCTCCTTTAGGAAAGCTGCAGGGAAAAAATGGCTAAATTGCTTTTACAATGTGCATGAGGCAAGTGTGTGTGTGTGTGTGTGTGTGTGTGTGTGTGCGCGCGCGCGCATGCTGGAGCTTAAACTCAGGGCTGAGGCACTGTCCTTGGGCTTTTGTGCTCAAGGCTAGTGCTCTACCACTTTGATCTACCTTTCCACTTCCAGTTTTCTGGTGGCTCCAAGGCCATCTTACTTAAACCTGTTCAAATCTTGACTGGGAAATCTGTGCTGTGCAATCAACAAAATTCTGGAAGGCAGGCCTGCAGAAATTTTAAGCGCTACACACACAGGCAATGTCACATCAAGGAAACAATGTGATGGAATGAAGAGCCAATGACCTTGAGAAATGTCTTGAGCCTGGACCATGTGACCAAACAAAAGTGCAGAAGCTGAGCCAGGCCCAGCTGGCTTACACCTGTCATCCTGGCTACTCAGGAAGATGAGATCTAGAGGGTCTAGGCAGTCTTTGAGATTCAATTAACCAGTAAAAAAAAAAAAAAAGCTGTATTGGAGGTGTGGCTCGAGTGGTAGAGCATCAACCATAAGCAAAACAGAGCATAGCAGAATCCAAGTTCAAATTCCAGGCCCAGAGATACACATTAACATTAAATATTACTAAATCTTCCTGTCCCAGGACATGTAAAGGATACGAAGATGTAATCGTCCATGTATCGCTTCTTCAGGTTCTCCACGATGGAGCTCTCGGTGATCTTCGACAGGAGGACCATGTCGTCCACACCGCTGTGTTTGACATTGTGACTCTGCCAATGGTACCGGAAGGCACCTTTGCTTCCCTATGGACCAAACCACACAACAGCAGTGAGACGCGCACATGGCGATTTCACCATCGTAGACCTGGATTCAAGTTTCCAGCCTTACTGAATCATTGAAGCTTCTCTTTTGCTCATTTGTATAAGAGAAAGAAAGAGAGAGAGACAGAGAGAGAGAGAGAATTCCACTTCAGAGTCAGCATAAGAATGACCTAACACACCATACAGGCTGGACATGATAGATCCTTCTTGTATTCCTACATGGGAGGCTGAGATTCGGAGAATCCTGACTTGAGGCCAGCCAGGGTAAAAAGATAGCAAGACCACACCATCTCAATATAAAAACTCTGCTCCTGTCACCCTAGCAAGGTGGGAGATATAAATAGGATCGTGGTCCAGGCTGGTCTAAGACAAAAAAAAAAAGGAGAGACCTTACCTGAAAAATAAAGCCAAAGAAAGGTTAAGGGTGTGACTCAGGTGGTAGAGCACCTGTCACCAGACTCTAAGTTCAAGCCCTACTGCTGCTAAACATAAAGGACAACAACTAAAACAACTGCAGCCCAAACCAGTCTCTGATCTATTCCATCAAATTTGACTATGGAATGATCATGAGGTCAGCACTGCTGATGTCACCTGAAACATCTTCCCTCCCCTAAGTCACCATTGTCACTCTATCCAAAGCCTTCAGGATGCTTGTAATCTTAGCCATTCGGAGGCTGAGATATGAGGATCACAGTTTAAAGCCAGCCTAGCAGACAAATCCATGAGTCTTACCTACAGTTAACTAACAAAAAGCCAGAAGCAGAGGTGTGCACACCAACTTTTTTTTTTTTTCCTTGGGTCCAGTCGTGGGGTCTGAACTCTGGGCCTGGGCGCTGTCCCTCAACTCTTCAGCTCAAGGCTAGCGCTCTACCACTTGAGCCACAGCGCCACTTCCGGCTTTTTTCTTTTTGCTTATGTGGTGTTGAGGAATCGAACCCAGGGCCTCATGCATGCAAGGCAAGCACTCTACCACTGAGCCACCTTCCCAGCCCATGCACACCAACTTTAAAGCAGAAAAAGTTGTGTGCAAGGCCCTGAGTTCAAGACCCAGTATCAGCATAAAAGGTTATTGTTTAGTTTTGTTTTAATTTCTCAGAGAAAGAGACTGTCACTTTGTGACGCACAAATTCTAGGAGGATCCAGGGAAAGCAGCCCTTCAAAATGCAGGAAGCCATCCCAGAAAAAGTGTGCCATGCCACTAGGCCCAAACTTGGAAAGAGGTTCTAGAAGATTCCACCATCTCGCTATCCTGCAGAGGGAAACCTTCCGTGTGATGTATCTGGCTTTCCCAGAACCACCCACAGCTTCAATTCTGCAAAGTGACCACAGATTTCCTGATCCTCCCCCTCTCCCCCCTCCCCTTTCCCCTCCTCCTCCACCAGCCAAGTTCAGAAGAACAGCTCTCGCCACAGCCTGGGCTACTAGCTTTCATGAGCATGGTCCTCTCCCAACACAAGTCCTGGAGGCTCATCTCCTAGCCTCCCTTCCTGCTTTCTGTCACCCACAAAGTTAAATCAACAAGGAAAGCCAAAAGTCCTAGAGAACCAATCCGGAATTGCTCGGTTCACTTTTTTTTTGGTGGTGGTGGTGGTGCCAGTCCTAGGATTTGAACTCAGGACCTGGGACACAGTCCCTGAGCATTTTCACACATGGCTAGTACTCAACCACTTGAGCCAGTGCATCACTTCTGGCTTTTGGGTAATTTGTTGGAGGAGATAGTTTCAGACTTTGATGCCTGGCCTGACTTGGAACCGTGATTCTCTGATAGTCTCAGGTCTCAGCTTCCTGAGGAGCTAAAATTACAGGCGTGAGCCACCAGCACCCATCTTGGTTGGCTTTGAACCCCAATATTGCTACACAGAAATGATCTCTGAAAGTAGCCCAAGCCTGCTGGGCACCAAGCCAACCTTTCTCCATGCACTTACACAGGCGATCCTGGTGAATTTCTTCCTTCTACCATTGGAGTTTGTTGGGTTTTAATTTCACATTTGTTTTTTGGCAGTACTGAGGCTTGAACTCAAGACTTCATGCTTGCTAGGCAGGTGCTCTACTGCTGAACCACACCTCCAAGTCCTTTCTTCTACTGGTTCAGTGTGTGTGTGTGTGTGCCCTCCATTATACGGGGCTTGAACTCAGGGCCTGGGTACTGTCCTTTAGCTTTTTTATTTTCCCCAATCAAGGCTGGCACTCTACCACTTAAATCACAACACCACTTCTGACTTTTTGCTTTCCCCATCCATGTCACCTCAACAGAAAGGCTCCCCCTCCCTATTTGAGGAAACCCCTTTCCATTCCCCGCCCCTCTTCAGCCAAATCAGGACACTGGGCAGGCCAGAGGGCCCAGTGCTGTAGCCAGCTGTGTGCCAAGACCCAAGAATGGCAATGCCAATACCAAATGCTACTTGTCACTCTGGTGATGGCTGGCAGTGATGACAAGAGAAATTTCCCATGTGCTAAGGGTTCTGCACAGACTTTCTTTGGACCTACATTTAGTTTCTAAGGATGAATCAGCTTAGGAAAAAAATGCATTTGATTCATACGAAAGTTCTAGAAAGGAGGCACACCCACACCCACACAATGGCTTGGACTGTTGCTCACACATAGGAAGTACCACCAGACTGCTAAAGTCCGTCTCACATGCAGGAAGAGCCAGCATGGGCCAGGGGTCTCACTGGTGACGCTTAAGAAGTGGAGGTTTTTGCCACATGCCAGCGGCTCACACCTGTCATCCTAGCTACTCAGGAAACTGAGGATCGTGGTTCAAAGCCAGCCCGGGCAGGAAAGTCCGTGAGACTCTTTATCTCCAATAAACCACCAGAAAACCAGAAGTGGTGCTGTAGCTCAAATGGCAGAATGCTAGCCTTGAGCTAAAGAGCTGAGGGACAGCGCCCAAGCCCAGAGTCCAAGCTCCACAATGGACAAAAAAAAAAAAAAAAAAAAAGCTAGTCTGGAAAGAAAAGTCCATGAGACTCTTATCTCCAATGAACCAGTTTAAAAAAACCTGGAAGTGGAGCTGTGGCTCAAGGGGTAGAGCACTAGCGTTGAGTAAAAAAGCCAAGTAAAAGAGTGTGGGGCCTTGAATTCCAGCCCAGTGCTTGTTTTTATTTTCTCTGCCTGAAATGTCAACAGTACAAGATGATTTCCTAGATCAATGAGCAGTTCAAATCCAAGATGTCATAAATAGCTTTCTTTTTTTTTTTTTGGCCAGTCCTGGGGCTTGAACTCAGGGCCTGGGCACTATCCCTGGGCTTCTTTGCTTCTTGCTCAAGGCTAGCACTCTATCACTTGAGCCACAGCACCATTTCTGGCTTTTTTGTTTATGGTACTGAGGAATCAAACCCAGGGCTTCATGCGCGCAAGGCAAGCACTCTACCATTAAACCGCATTCCCAGCCCTAAGATGTCATAAAGAGTTAATACAGTCCATCAATTCTCTAAGATGCAGTTTCTCAAACTTGGACACTGTGTTTTGGGTCTACCATAGTCAGTGGTTTGTCGTTGGCTTAGCTGATGGCTATTTTGAATCAATACATAATGATGGCCCTCTTCCAGCCAAGAGCATCTTGGGTGCAATGGGGTAGATGATACCCAACTCATGACCAGATGCTGCCATGAACACTTTACAAACCCCAACCACTGTTCAATACCACCATAAATATAAGGCATTTTGTGCTACTGATCCCAACCCAGGCGGGTGAAGGGGAAGAGATGCCCCTGCCCCCCTAAAGATTGGGGATCGCGGTGGGTATCACCCTCTCATCCAGCTAAAGAGGAGACAGACAAACTTGATTAGATCATGAGCATGTTTCAAGCCACATTTGAACCCCATCAAAATGGCTGAAATCCATTTTTAGGACAAATACACCCCATTTATTTCCACCGCCAAGCTCCTGCTGGAGCAGTCATACCCATGTTGATGACTTTTCTCATCTGGGGCCCTGCCAGCCTTAACAAGTGAGTCGAGAACCGAACAATCATCCGATTCACCAGTGTTTGTCTCACAGTGGATTGGAATCGACAGATGTGGGTATAAACCTCGCTGCCAGTGTTCATGGAATTCTCTTCTTTACCCTGAAGACAACCTAACGCACATGTAAATGTGATTTTGGTTTTTGCACCTCTAGGGAACAGGGCTCATTGACAAAGTCAGGAGCCCAAACTTTATCACACTATGGGCCCTAATGTTTTGGTTTTTTTTTTTTTCAGAATGGGGCTTCCATTCCTACTCCTTCCCCCTGCAAATCTATAGCAGAGGTCAGCAGTCCCCTTACCCAATGGGTTGGACTTCAAAATGGTCGGCAGGAACACCAGTTATTTGCACAAATATCTGCATGGTTTCTGGTTGCAAACATGCTTTTGAATTTGTGCTTTTACACTCGCCAAGAGCACAAATGCCTCTTTTTTTTTGTTTGTTTTCTTGTTAATGGGAGTCCCAAAATAGGAAGAGAAGCAGAAGCAAGCATCCCAGCATTCACCAGGGTCAGTGTGTGTCTCCCCTCTGGGGATTTAAGCCAACAGCACGGTATTGCTTACTAATTAAGTAAGCCACTCCCCAGAAATACCTGCCAGTGACTACATATCCATTCAAGTTTATTGGAATTAAAGAGCCAAGATTTGTACATTTGTTTGATGAACATCACCCTTTAAATGTAGCAAATAAGCTCATTTCGATGGTTTTTTTTTTTGTTTTTTTTTTTTTGTCGGTTGTGGGGCTTGAACCCTGGGCCTGGGCACTGTCCCTGAGCTGTTCAGATAAGGCGAGCGCTCTACCACTTGAGCTACAGCGCCACTCCTGGTTTTCTGATGGTTTACTGGAGATGAGTCTCACGGTCTTTCTTGCCCAGGCTGGCTTTGAACCGTGATCCTTAGATCTCAGCTTCCTGAGTAGCTAGGATTACAGGTGTGAGCCACCAGCGCCTGGCTATTTTGATGTTTTTTAAGGCAGCAAGGAAGAGACCAAAAGTCAGAAAAGAGGGGAAAATT